CAGTGCAACTTGGCCCATGTTTCATTGTCCTTATCCCTGCTCATCCCATCACAGATAACACTAATCAAGAGGCAGTTTTTATGCAATATTTCTGCTGTGAAAACCATCTCACGTGCAAATCAAAACAAGAACTACATTAATTTATTTCTAAGCATTTTATTACCTTACTTCAATTTCCCTGTAAGGAACGAGCAACCCGTTTGTTTGCTTCTTTCTCTTTCTTAAAGACAGCCTACTCCCTGGAGAAACCTATTTATTTGTTTTAAGCATGTTTTTACAGGCCTTTTAATAAAACTGGAGTGGGTGGGGGTTGGGGTTTGTGCAGGTAAAAAGTAGTGTCTGAAAGTGGTCTTAACAGTTTGTCAGCTGTAGTGCCAATGAGCTTCAAGTTTAATCTACATTCAGAAGATGCAGAAGTGTGTATTTCTGTCTTGCACCTCATAGCCAAGCCTAAGAAAGTAGAGCACCAATCTGTTGAAAACATACTGCCTGCATAAATGGATACCACTAGGTCTGCCCATGGGTCCACACTGTCCTCTGTGGGGGTCTAAAAATCCTTTATTTGGCTGAAGTTATGTGCTTCCTAAAAATACAAGAAAACAGCTAGAAACAGGCTAAAAATAACTAAATAATTCACTAGCAAACAGTCTACATTCTAAGGCAATTTTGAAAACAATTCTACAAGGCAAGAATAGGAAACTTTCAAGAACTACTGTGGGAATTTTATCTTCACAATACTCTAAATACCTGATACCTACAAGCAGGGTTTTTTTTGTTTGATTGGTTTGTTTTGGGTTTCTTTGTTTGTTTCCTTGGTTGGTTTTTTTCTGAATGAGTTAAGAACAAACAGAATTAAAAGAAATTAAACATATGTGCATTGCTCGAATTTACATTATACTTCTGGGCCTTGCAACTGTGATTTTGCCACTGACTTCTGCAGCCACAGTCAGATGGCAAATTTTTTTAATTAATAAAGCTAACAAACTAACAATATTGCCACAAAGTCAACAATGAAACAATAAATCATTTATGTAAAATAGATCATTATGTACCTTTCTGTCAAACTTTTCCTGTAGATACACGTACATATTTCTTTGTCTAGTTCTCATTTTCTTTCCTAATTCAGACTACATATATAAGCCAAGTATGTTAAATATAAACATACAAAACCTCACTTTATGCCTAAATCCTTAGCTTATTCATAGCCCAAATATCCAAATTTTTTTTTTTCAAAATCAGCCTAAAAGGAACCTGTTAACAAGAATCATTTACATAAAAGTGTTTAAAGCTATAGATTGTTGTGGGGGTTGAGCTATATGGGAAAAAAATATCGTAAGTCTTTGACATTCTAAAACAGCTGGGAATACTTTAACCAAAGTGTAAAAGAATATAATGAAAACACAAAAAACTTCAACCCACATTTCTAACAGAGATGCAATCACAAAAAAAAAATATCGCTAAATGATAAGAAGTCACTGATTTTTTAATTTTTTTTTTAAATTCAGTTAGTACTGACTGTCAGGTGAGAGCATGGTATATGAAGACTGGACTTAAAAGTCCCACATAAAGGACTAATTGTAGAACTGGTAATATTCAGTTTCATGTCTTCAAGACCTTTTTCTTTTGATTAACATGGTATGCACACCACAAACATGAGAGAGATAAAACTCATCTTTAAATTATATCTCAAGACTCTTTAAGAAAAACTGCTCAAAATTACAATCTAAGGTGTCTTATTATTAGAAATAAGAATCTTTTTAATGATTATAAGTCAATACAAATATGATAAAATTATCACTTTTCAAGGTCTGTCTTTATTAGGAAAGTTGCTTCAAAATACATGAATTCGTCTAAAAATGGATCATTACAGTAGTACAAAACCATAATGTAGACATATTTAGATAAAATCTACTCGCATTAATATAAATATAGTTTTTAGTTCCTACACATCATCATGGTTTAAGAAATTGTTGCATCTCAGCCTAACAACGATACCTAAATGCACCAGCATTTATCACCCACTGTAAACCTGAGGTAAAATGTGGAAAATTAAAGTTCAGTGACAGAGCGGGTTTGCTTACATGTTCTAGTTCACATTTGTTGTGCTAAGTAGGTGGAGTTAATTTGTGTGGCTCAGCAAACTTACAAGAGCAGATCATATTTTGAGTCATTGTTCACTGAATTACTGGTTTAATTCAATGTAGTTATAGCAAAATTTAAACAGGTCAAAACAAGTCTACATTTGAGCTTATAGTAGCAGAATTAGATGTGTATGTACATGGATATAAGACCTTAGAGGTGTGTATACAGAGATATGCTACGTCTGTGTTTATATACATATATGTTCCTCAAATTTATTTTTTTTTCAGTTGTGAGGATGATGGGGCAGGGGCATGAAGACCCAATACTGGAAGCATCAGTTTAAAATACAGGGTTAATTTCTGCTTTATATTTGCAAGTTAAAGTACAAAAGTCTGAATTAGTGTATTTCAAAGTATCAAAAGGCAAAAATATTCATGTTCTATGTATTATTTTTAATGACTTCATTTTTACAACAGTATCACTGCTTTGTGAAATCCAAAACATGCTTAGCAATGAATGCTTCGCATTCTCTGAAATTCCCTAACATTGTGTATTGCACATTATTCTCTTCATAATATAACACTAAAAGTAAAATGGTTCTCTACCTTTTTTTCACCTTGAGACACGAGACTCCAAAATGAATTTAGTGCTAGCTCTGATTTGAGTAGAAAGTTAGTTGCATTTGATCATTGCTATGCATACAGAGAAAATGCATCTTCAGTTTTAAAAATTATGAAAGAACTTTATTTTATTTTGACATCAGACTTGTAGCTAAATTTGACCTTCTGTCAAACTACCTCTTTTGAGAATGATATGAGAAATTTGATTGCAGGGAATTTCCAAAATTTTCTTCATCACAGTTTTTAGAAATGTGTTACAATTTACTGCAATTTACTTGGGAAATTACTTTTAATAGTTTCAAATAGTAGCATAAATATATTTACGTAGATTATATGATCATAGATCACTGAAAACATATCTTCAATAAGAGTAATTTTAAAAATTTTCATTTGCAGGCCATCATGTGCAAACTGTTAGTGAGTTTGTACCGAATATAGTTTGAAACTTCTATCATATTTAAAATGCATATTGTTTAGAATTTATGAAAGGTGTTAATGAGGGTTTCTGAGATTTGAAGTAATTATTCTGTCTGTAAATCATTATTTTCCTTTATGGCTGACTGCTTGTTGAGTTTATAACCCTCCATAAGCCTTGTCAATTTAACTGTTTAAAAACACCACCACTAAACCTTCATAAATGGGAACTAATCAGATTAACATCTTTAATTGGCAAAGCTATCTCATTTTATTCAAGCAAAAGAATTAAGCATAAAGCCAAATATAGATGTCCTAACAGCTCTTTGCAATAGACAGGACAAGATATGGTTTATTATAGGTGGTTCGGGGATTTCTTTTCTTTCCTAGTGCTACATTCTTGAAAGGAAAAATGTCCAGTATAACTGGATTTTCTGGGAGATACATAGAAAAATGGGAAATTAGTGTGTACATCTGCTCCATAATGTAAAACATTTCAAACAAGTCTTGTATTTTTCATTGCTTCTAAGATGTACTACACTAATTTTTAACTTCAAAATCCAGGAAGAGTAAATTGTACATCAGTACATCAGTAAAAAATTGCATATGTAAACATACACATGTACAGAGAGGCTATGTACATATTTACATAGGATGGAAGAAGTTCCTCTATTTTTATTCTTTTTTTTTTTCCTATTTTAAGTACCGTAGACTTAATTTCATTGCTTTCCATGCTAACCTGTCAGTATTAAGCATCATTAGTTTTTATTTACTCTTGCATAAAAAGCTTGATATCACTGATAGAATATAATTCAGAAATCAAATATATATCTATATAGTGCATGGCCCGAATGAACCCTTGCAAGAAAGAAAACCACCTAGGAGTAAAAACACTAACATGAGCAACAATAAACTTAAGACCATGGATTACCTTTGAAGTGACATGGTTATTGCAAATGACTGCAAGACACTAAATCTTCTCTGTGACCTTTGTGACCATTTCTCACTTGCAAAAGTAAAACCTGTCACATCACTTGTGTAATTTTTTCTGTAAACACAAATATGCATACAGCAACATTTTTGCACCCTAAGATGATTAGATAAATATATATATATATCTAGAGCATTTTGTCACGTGAGAGACCTAATCAGTCTTCATTTACATCCTTGCTGCTTCTTTCAGCAATTTCCCAAGAGTACATGCAAAAAAGCCTAAGTGAGTTGGCTTATTTGTGTATACATGTGCACAAATTCCATGACAAAATTGTCCAAACACAGGTGTCTAAATTTTGTAAAAACTGTCTGATTTTTAGAGATCGAGATAAACCACAAATATCACAGAGGTTCTAACTACACTTTCATATACACAGCGACACAATACTTTCATACTAATCACCAGTAATTTGTACATAAAACCAATTACAGTATTAGATATAATTTTACACCACAAAGAGCTCTGAAGACTTCACAGTAATTTATTTATTAAAATCAGTTAAAAATCACACATGACACATGACTTGAGTAGCCTGAGACCGTATAAAAACACAGAGACCCTGAAAATATCTAGTGTGACTCAAAACAAAGTTTCTTTCCAAGGATTGTATTTGCAGGACTGTTGTTCTAAGTTGCCGATTCTTGTTCTACTAAACAATCCTGTTTAAACTTTGCTTAAAAGTTATTACTACAACTAATGCCAGTTGGAAAGATAAGCTTATTCCCTTAAAGAAATAAAATCTCACATATGTGCAGTATTGTTATGTTTTGTTACTTAGTCCTTTTGCACTCTAAAATTAATTCCTCCTGAGTCATGTCAACCATTAATACAAAGAGATGTTTAAAAAATGTAAAAAGGAATGAGGGAGTAGTAATGGTAACATACAGTACCATGAGCTGCTCTGGCCTCCCAGCCAGGGTGTACAGTTAACAGATCATTCCTGGGCATCAGCAGACAAGGAGGGGAAAAATCCTCCCCCCTTGTCCCGGGCCATGGGCTGGGGCAGCCGAGCAGGAGGGGGACGGGGGAGAGCTCTGGCAGTTTACAGAAGGCGATCCGGCTCCCTCCCAGTGCATTCCTTTCCCTCTACCTCCCAACCTCTTTGCGTGTGTCTTGTCATATTTTCTTCAGCTGCTAATTGTGTGAACTGAGAGATTTTAAACAGCCGCAGCTTAGGAAAAGCGAAACCTCTCTAAGTGACTATTGCAGCCCGTAAGCTTCGTGCTGCTGGGTAAAATTTTCCAGGGGAAGTGCTCTTCTGATAGTTCTCGAGTCACTAAGTCACCCTCCCTCCTCCTTTCCCCACCACACACACTCCCCTTGAGGCCTGAATGCACTTGTGGCAATAAAACATTCATGCGACTTGGAATTTTAACACAATGCCATTTCCCTAGTTTAACCTGAAAGGAATGCACTAGTCACAACAGACTACATCATCCTGCCATTAAGCCCTGCCAAGGAACCGCTTTTTTGGCCGTGCTGGGCCAGCGTTGACGGGAAAGGAGTACACAGACCCACACACAGAGCACAGAGGGGCCACCTCTGCTTCCTCAGCCTTCTCCAGCAACACCCAGCTCTTAACCATGACCCCTGGCCTGTGTCAGCACTGTGACAGCCCTGTGATGCATGTGTCACTTCAGGACTTCTGCAGAGTCACAACACTGAGCAGGCAACTCCTGCCTTTCACTGACTTGCTGCTCTGTCTCAACACGCACTTGAACATCTGCCAGAGGGTGGTTGCTTCCCCCCCTCTTCTTTTTTCTACATTTTCCAGCAGTTTTTTTAAACATATACACTATTGTTACTGTTGAATGTCTTCTGTTTAAATCCAAAGATCTTTCAGCAACTATATGCCCTCCCCCATCCAAGGAAAAAAAAAAAGAAAAAAAATCAACAAAAAAACCCCCCAACCTTTCCAATTGCCAGTGGTAATTAGGTTATGATTACTGAAAGAACAGTTTGCTCAGGGAGCTAGTTAGCAAAGCTACCAGAACTGTGGTATTTCAGTGGACTTTTTTTTTTTCTTTTTTCTTTTAGTAATTCAAGAAAAGACAGAAGCATCAAATCATCATCTGATGATTTACAAAGAATGACGATGGCAATAGGAAAATACTGAGTATCTAATTTGCCCTCTGTTAGTTTTTTTTGCAAGCATTTTTTGCAAGTTTTTTTGAAGCATTGCTTCAAAAACTGTAATGCACCAGAGCTAAACTCAAGAAGTGTTTACTTGTCATTTTGATTTTTGAAACTGTGAATACAAATTTCTAAGACCTCAATTTACTTACTTTGTTGTGTTCTGAGTGACAAGCAGCAGAGACAACTTCACCAAAAAGCATTTTGGTGCTCCTTGCCTTTCTTTACTCTTGCCTTTAATTCCTCTGCAGTTGAACTACCTCTGATTTAAGTGGACAGAGTGCACTGAACAAGCAAGCATGGAAACATTTTCAAAAAACTGGAACTATACCTTTTGCCATTTTGGTACTTGCTCTAAAAAGAGAACTGATATCACTGATATCACTGATACCCTGTGTCCTTGTTACATCCCTTATGCAGGTGTCTGTCCATTATTACAGATACCTATAAACCAAATAAGGAGATAAGAGCATTCCTAGTTCTGCAGCACACAGCATTGATTGTAACTCATGAGAGTTGACTAGCACTCCCTCGTGACTTATTATAATGTTATCATAATTATCGACATGCCGTTGTGGTTCCACAGCTGCTTTATGGAATGACCCAAGAGGATAGGTCCCTCTGCCCAAGGAGTTTACAAAGGGAATGAGACACTACCACTTGTGCACCAAGTATAGGGTGCAGATAGATGATGAGGAGGAAGAGATTACTACATCTGAAGGCCCAGGAGATAAGCTTTAGTTAGATAGTATCTCATTCCTACACCAAAACACATGGAACCATATCTCCACATGTAATCACCCAGAGGTCAGGGGAAACAAACACAGGTTAGGAAGTTATTCCATCAATTCACAACATCCAAGTGCCACACAACAGATTAACAGCTTTGATGATGAAGAATGCCTTCTGTCATTAGCATTTCAAATAACTTTTCTGTGATTTTTCCGTTGAAAATCATGTTTCTAGAATGCAAAAGAAAGCAGCAGTTCCTCCTGAATCCAGGTTTGCCTGACTAAAGTGTATGTTTATAGGAAATTCAAGCTTGCTTCACTGTTTTCTAGAACACCAGAGATTTTATAAATGCCAAAGCGACCACAGTGAGCAGTGGTTAGTATCACATACTTCAGAGAAAGAAATCCACTGTTGGACAAACATAGGCTATATTTCCCACAGAACAGATTTTTATAATCTCCACCCTATTATGTATTAGTTTATGGCATGATGTGAAGATGTAGATAATTTGAGGAGAAAAGCTTCAGCTTTGCAAAAACTGTTCTGGTGTCTGACGAATTCCCTTGTGTTTACAGCAAATAATCTTGACTCTTAATTTAAATTGCAGTTGGTACTTGTCTTAGGCAATATGGAAGTAAAAGTAGTGCTTCCTTACACACACAAAATATTTTCCAACATGCTTGGATGTTTGCTTTATGTTTACTATGAATATGTAACACAGCAATGCAAATGTTCAGCATGAGGAATTGCATTTGAAGCAAAGACAGAAGTTAAGCAGGCATATATGCAATCAAAGCTGTTCCACAGCTAAAGGTAAACAACCCTTTAAATTTAGTCTATGGATGATAATATAGTGACTCAGAACACAGAGTTCCCAGAAACTGTTTATCTGTTCTAAAAAATCTATCTTTGCTGCTAGAAATCCATAATTGTTCTTTTAGAGGTACACTCTTGCACTTCAAAAAATTTTCAGTAGCTAAATGACCCAAACCCATGAACTTGCCATCATTTTAAAAGGCCTACTTTTAGCTTTGCCTAGAATGACTGTATTCAGCATTTATACAGAAGGCTGTAAACTCTACAAACCTATGCCTGCACCCTCAAATATATATAAGTAGCCCTGGATTTCTAGTGCTCAATATGACCTGTCTGTGCTTATAATCACTTCTCATTTAACAAGGTTTCTTCTCATGCAGTTCTGATAACGAGCACGTACTAATTTCTACTAAATTCTGCTTTATACAGCTCTATTGAGTCTTTCCTAATGGTCTTCCACCTAAAAAAAAAAAATCCTGCTCTTCCATCGAATTCTGGTAACAGTTCACTATAGCACAGAGTAGTCAGCTAGAGGGGCTTATTTTATTATATCCATTCAGAGAAAGGAGGGTAATGAGTAGATAGCAAACCAGATTTACCCTGTTTCATACAGTTCTGTTGTATCATACCCATTCAAAAGAGCAGGAAAACAACCTGTGCTTACACAACACTTTGGAGTAAAATTTATTTGAGAGGTAGTAGAGCTTAGATTTCTCATGTGACAAAACTGTCACTTGGTTGTAATACATACCCAAGTAATTTAGAGTACAGTTACTGAACCTTATTTTTTTTCCCTATGGATGCCTAAAATTTTCTTACAGTATATGTATAAACAGATACACACTGCTCTCTAGGATATGATCTGCCTCTCTTAATTATCTTTCACAGGCAGCTTAGACACAAATCTCAAGGAGCATGTAGCCTACAGATGGAGAGAACATAGTTATGCTGCAGAGGGATCAAGAGGTCTTTCAGGGCTATGGGGTTGAAAAATAGAATTTAATTCTGAGTAAAGATGCAAAAGTTGTCTGCAGCTACTGAAACAAGGACTTTTTCATATCAACATCTGTACTGAAAAAAAAATTAAGAACATATACACAGCACAAGCGGATGGCTCTACAGGGCATAGCTGAGAACATCTATGGGTGGTGATATACCTTAAGAGTTCCAGTCATATATTCTTGCTTTCACACAGACACTCTCATGGACTGACTTAGATACAACTTAAGTGTAATTACAGAATCAGTTGATTTTGCTATTTTAAAAGTAGTTTATTTGCCCTTGACCTTCTAGAAATCATGAAGTAATACTAGGAAGTTCCAAGAAACCATTAGGCTAGCCAAAACCTAAATGCTTAAATATCTAAATGCTTAGAAAGATACTATGAAGCACCATACCTATTTTATTCACGTCCCTCAGTATTCTAAAGGAGTTAAAATTAACATGATTCAGGATAGGAAAAAAGTTGGAGAATCATATCCTTGGTTCTCCACTGCAGTTTCTGACAGGTGACAAAGTGTCCATCTGGGAAAACTGAGAGATCTCTACTGAAGCTCCTCTCTGTAGAAAAATCATCAAAGGCATCCATTGTGTACACACTTCCCCAGCATACCAAGAATCTTACCATTTCCTAAATGTAATGTACCACGAAAGGCTTGGTTTGAGCTGTTCCAAATAATCCTCAGTCCCTTCCACTGAGAAAGAAAACACTGTGATCCTGACATATTCTTTAAGTTCCATGCATGGCCTTGCATGTTATATACTACGCTTTCTGTAGGTTAATCAGTGAATCCTTGAATGATAGAATGGGCGAAGGTAGCAAGCAGGTGCTAAATGTCTAGAAATATCTGTGCTCCACTACCCTTTTTTTCTGCTGACATAGCAGAAAAGGGATATTAGAATATTAGAAAATCAACTCTCCGTCAGAATTCTGCCCATATAGAACATTTGGGGAAGCAGGGGTGTGGGGAAAAAAAAAATCAATCCTTCTTCTGAGGGAGGATGCCTTGAGTATTGGGAGTTTGGCACAAAACCAGAGAAAGTAAGATAGTGGTCTGAAGAAAGAGAATGAACTCCTTAGAACTGAAAAGCTAAGGTTAATAAATAACATTAATTCCTTGATGGAGGACGGACATTTAGCACCCACAAAAATGCAGTGAAAGCTGTAAGAGAATTAACATCTGGGTACCTGTCTGACTCCTCCTCCACAACAATAATAATCTTTTGCTATTTAGGATTTGGAATCAATGCAGCAGCTAGTGCCAGAGGAGACAGCTGCAGAGTCCTGAAAAGGCAGCAAATAAGTGAATTCATATCTTCAGTTAAAAGTTTTCTGGCTGCTTGTTCAGGTTCCCATATCTCTGGAGAAGCATCTGAAATGACACTCTTCTACTGAGTTCATAGGGCTTGGATGCTGAGGTACCAAATAGTACAACTCTTCTGTTCCTCCAAAGACCTGGAAGAAGCAGCTTTTTCAGTCGCCAGGGCCTGGCTCTGGGGGTTTCCACATCACCATCTGCATGAAAGTCTTCCCATGGGGTTGAATACAGACTTCTTCCCAGGCAAAATTAGTAGAAACGTTCATACAGATGCATAATTCTGGAAGAAACTCTCCTTTACTTGACATGCTAGAAAATGGCTGCCTGTTCTGGGTAGGGAAACTGAGCACAGAAAGACTGCTTCATGAAGTCTGCTATTTCCATCAACTACCCCCTTTGTCTCCCACACAGATATTCACACAGTGTGTTCAGGAAATTAGGCAGTTCATACGAAAGACTCTTTATCTGAAGCCTGGCCACCAACACTCCTTTTTTTTCATCCTTCCATCATGACAATAGATCAGGGTCTCACCCTGAAAACGTAGTCAATATGCATGCTTGCATCTATTTCAAATCACTAAGGGTTGTGGAACCAGATCATGCCCTGACACCATTGACATTCATTTCAGAAGGCAGGTGCAGAATCATTGCTACTGAAAAGAGGCTTGTGGAGTGCAATAACTAAAATGTAGAGAAGAGTCTGACAAAGGAGCTGCAGTTCAACCTGTCATTCATAATTTTTTCTTATTTAGCAGCCCTAGTTATGAATTGTTCCTCTTACTGGGAACTCCTAGTGATCTTTGGAAAAAACTTATGCACAAATATATTAAATAACAGAAGAATTTAATTGTGGAGCAATAGCAACACCTCACACTAAATCCTCTACAAAGAAAAATAATTTCCTTTGGTTACAAACAGGTGTGTCATGTAGAAATTCAGTTTCTACTTTGCCATAGTACTCAGGGAAGTAACTTAATTCTCTATTTGGGTGCCAGCTTCCACAAGAAATAAAGTACTATGACACAGATTTATGTAACACTATTTTTCTTCCTCAAAAGCGCTTTCAGATAACTTCAAAATAGGGCTTATATATATATATACATATGTGTATATATGTATATATATATATATGAGCCTCCAG